CGCCACGGCGGGGGCGGGGGGCAGGATGCGGGCTGGCAGCGGGGCTGGGGCGGGAGGGGAAGAGGCCAAGGGCAGGGAGCGATGCTGTGCGTGCTTGGAGGAAGTGTGAGCACCGCTGCCTGCCGAGGGCCAGACGCGCCTGGTGCTGCCGGCGGCTGGGCAAGGTGCATCTGCGGCACCGACATGGTAGGTCCCACTCCTTTCCTTGGGGACGAGTCGGGGTCTGCCCGGAAAAGAGGGTTAGGGGAGGGCAGAGCTGCGGGCAGGCGCTGCCAGGAACTGGTGCCGCTGCCGGGGACGCGCAGGAGGGATCCAGGCTGCCCTGGAGAGACCCTGGCCCGGGCAGTGAGGCCGTGCCAGGCACACAGGGCACTGCCGCTGCGGAGAGAGATGCCAGCCCTGGGTGGGCAGGGAGGGCTCTGGACTTAGGGGCTCCCCAGGAGCAAGCTGCACTGCTGGCATGACCTCCCACACTGCCCAGCTGTGCTGCAGGGCAGAGCCCCCCCCGAAAAGTGCCTTGCTGGAGGGGCCCTTTCTGCAGCAGAGCCGTACCTGGCCCTCAGCACCGCATGTGCCTGTGTGCATGCTGGCACAAGCAACATGTCCTGGTGGCTACCACGACCACCTGGCAGCGGTGTGGGTGCATGGCGAGGTGCACGAGCCCCCGTGGGACATGTATGCTCACAACTCCCTCCCTGGCACACAGGGCACTGCTGCGGGACTGTGGTCTGCTGGGAGGACGCGGGCTCTGGGCTCTCGTGGCATCTGCTACCTGGGCATCACTGCCATCGCATGGGGTAAGCCTCCCGCCGCCCGCTCGGTAAGCCCAACATGACCCTGCTGCTGAGGAGCCTGCAAGTCCAGGAGACCGAGGAAGGGCAGCAACATTATTTTGGGGACTCATCAGTCACACCCCCCATGGCTGTCAGCCCCAAGGCTGGATCCTTCTGGGCTGGGAGGGTGCTGTGCCTGCCCTCCAGCCAGACCTGTCACAAGACTGTGCTCCCCCAGGGAAGGCCAGGCCATGCATGGGGTCCCCGCAGGGTGTCTGGTTCCCCAAATACAGCATGGCAACCAGTGCGTTGTACTGTGAATGCAAGAAAGGCAGCAGCAGCTCTACCCTCTGCCTACACCCATGCCCGTGCTGCAGAGCTGGGCATGAATGTAGCCACAGGACCTGTAGGTGTGAGGGTTGGGAGCACAGCTGGGGCAGCACCATGCAGAGTTAAAGCTGCTAATTAACATCAGGAGAAGAAATCAGAGTAAAAACTAATTTGGTTTTGCTGGCTGTAGGATATTTCCTTTACATGTTGGCACTGCACAAAGCAAAATCTGCCAGTGCCTGCTCTGTCCCTAGAGAACATCCATGAGCTGGGTTATTTTTCAAAGGACCTTTTGTGGTTGAGCTAAGGAACAGAGGCAAATGCAGAAGTGTCAGGAGGAGGCTGAGATTTAGCTCTGAGGGGAAAGCAAAAATACAAAGGCACCCTCAGTGCAGCGGGTGCAGAGCACTGCCCTGGAGGGGAGATATCCGGGGCTGCCAGGGGAGTGAAGGGGTCAAAATGGAGGCAAACAGCACCCACCTGGGGGTTCAGCTCCAGGTAGGGCAGGGAGAGGCAACATAAGGCTGAAGGGAAGGAGTGGGGCTATGTTACAGAGAAGTGTTGCTGGTGGAGCTGGACGAAAGAGGCAGGAGAGTATGTGGAGGATGGGTATGTAGCAGATGGGCTCCCTTGGTCCTTCTTGGTTTTGGAATGGGGTGTGAAAGGGTAGCAGGGCAGCTGCCCTGAGCCGTGCTGGGGAGGTAGCAAGGACCAGGAGGTGGTGGTAGGAGCTGAGGACAGAACAGGCTCCCAGGAGGTGCCCTGAGCTTCTCTCCTGTAGCCCCAAACTCCCAAGGGGTGAAGACAAGGGCTGTTGTTGAAGGCCACATTTTCCTCCACTTCTGTTGAACAACGTGTGTAGTTTGCTCTTTGACAAGGAAGACCAGGCAAATTATGGGAATTTTGCTTAGAAAAATGCAAAACTGTTGACCAAACTAGAGCCCTAATTGGACTTGAGAAGCCCTAGATTTGCATCTAATCTGTGATTCCCAGACCTTTGTCTGCATGACCACAGTGTGATATGCTCCCCTGAGACACAGGCCAGTTGTTTGGAGCAAACTTTGATCCCCATCTCCCTTTCTGCACAGCTGGAGATATGATCCCTGTATCACTTTCTGTAGTTGTGGAGATACCTGCTTCTGGGGAGGAGGGAGGAAGCTTTTTTTTTTTGTGGCTAAACCCCTTTGATTGCATCAAGTTGTGGTACAAAATGCTGTAAATAAGAGCAAGGTTTCAGCAAAGTGCCCTTCACTTCTGGGTGTGGGTTCCAGTTAATCTCTGGCTTTGCCCTGACTGGTGAGCATGACCAGTATTCAAACTTGACTTTTGCAAGACGTTGTTTTGCAATACTGAATTTTACAAGACTTTTCAGACCATCTCTGGCTCAGATGAACAGCTCAGGATCCAAATGCTTTTGGGAGTGAGGCCACACTTGTTGCTCCAAGCTGACTCTCGTGTAGAAGTGTAAAGCAAGAAAATTGAAGTCGTGTATGTCTGTGCTCAAGGAAGGAACTGTGTTTAAGGAACCATCCCAATGTCAGATTTTCCCCTTTGGGCAACCTTTGTGGGCAGGGGAGCAGGGCTGTAGGGCTAGGCTGGAGGAGGGGTTGGCATCACCACCTGGGGCTCTTCTGCCACCTGTGCTCTGCCTCCTGCATCACATGCTGCCCTCTCTCTCGGCCTTCACCCCATCTGCACCACCTTCCTCATCCCTCCACCATCCTCCTCTGTCCCACCTCAGCTCCCTCTGCCATGCCTGATCCACCCAGGTCTCCACGTACCCTTAGAGCTCCATTCTCACCCACACTTCTCTCTTCGTCCCATTCCCTCACCCAGCTGGTTGCTGGCGTCTTTTGGCCCTGATGCCAGTCCTAGCCCACCCTCATGCCCTAAAAGACCCCATCCCCAACATGGCTCCCACCCTTTCTGTGTCAATCCCAGACCTCACCCTCTCTTGCAGGCGTGGGGACGTGGGTGGAGGTGGGTGCCTGGACATACCACTACAGTGACCGAGGGGACTACACGTGGGAGCAGGCCAGGAACTACTGCCAGACCTTCTTCACTGACCTGGTGGCGATCCAGAACAAGTGGGAGATCGAGTACCTCAACAAGAGCCTGCCCTTCCACGGGCGCTACTACTGGATCGGTATCCGCAAGCTGAGTGGCACCTGGACCTGGGTGGGCACCAGGAAGGCACTGACGAAGGAGGCAGAGAACTGGGCAGCCGGGGAGCCCAACAACCGCCGCTCCAACCAGGACTGCGTGGAGATCTACATCCAGCGGCATCAGGAGTCGGGCAAGTGGAACGATGAGCCCTGCAGCCGGAAGAAAAAGGCGCTGTGCTACCAGGGTGAGTGGGGGGACTGTGGCACAGACCTGGATCAGGTGGGTTGGGGACCTTGGCAGGTTGGCCAGTGGATCCTGATGACTATCCTCTGTGTGCACAGCCTCCTGCCAGCCCTTCCCGTGCAGCCAGCATGGCGAGTGCGTGGAGACCATCGGGAGCTACCGCTGCGAGTGCCACCCCGGCTTCTACGGCCCTGAATGTGAGAATGGTGAGCTGTCCATCCCCATCCCTCCCTCTCTGCTGGAGAGCCTGAGCCCCAGTGGCAAAGCGGGCAAGTTCGCTGTGCTTCTAACAGGCTGGCAGTGCCACATCTCTCCTAGTTGTGCAGTGCGCCGAGCTCGAGCCCAAGGGAGCACGCATGAACTGCAGCCATCCCTATGGAGACTTCAGCTACAACTCCACCTGCATGTTTGGGTGCCAGGAGGGGTTTGAGCGGCGAGGAGTGGGCACGCTGCGATGCCTGGCTTCCCAGCAGTGGTCAGCAGACACCCCCACGTGCACAGGTAGGCCCTCCCAGGGGCTGGGCATCTCAGGGATGCAGCATAGATGCTTTGGAGGTGCCAGCCCTGCATGCCCAGCGCTGTTCAGGCGAGCAATGGGCTGGGCTTGCCAGGCCCCTGCCCTTTGGGGAAGCAGCTCCTGGTATCATCGCATGTGGGTAGCGGTTCCCTGATGAGGCTGTGATGGGCAGAGTGGCTGTGAGCTCTGGATAAGCCACCTGCTCTCCCTGGCTGTCCTACTGCTCTTGCTTGCTGTCTTGAATCCCACCCAGGCACCAGCACCCTGCATGCACCAAATGCAGGGGCAAGAAAGTGTCTTGGCACCTCCATCATGCTGGTGACGCTATCTGCATCTCCCCAAGCCCACCCCAATCTGCCTTGGGAAGGTGCTTGGCATCTCAGGGGGCTTCAGAGAAGAGCAAAGGGGGGCTGCTGTTACGCAGCTGGGGGAAGGGTGTATCCTGGCAGGGCTGGGCCACCTTGAGCGGGGGCGAGGACCTGTGAGATGAGGTTAGATATAAGCTGGGAGGGACAGAGCGGGGCAGGAAACCACAAAGGAGAGAAAGCTGTGGTATGTTATGCTGCAGGGGCAGGGAAAGTCTTCCTGTCAGCGGCTCAAGGGTTTGCAGCCAGGTGCTGGGCACCCCAGAGAGGTGCTTGGCTTTTTTTGGGAGGTGCAAGAGCCCTGCTCCACCTTCCCTGTGCTGCTGTATGGTGCATCTGCAGCCTTGGACAAGGATGGGACAAGTCAAGGACTGGAGCAGACATGGGACACAACTGGGGACCCTCTGGAGGGGTCAGGGGGTGGGCAGGGTCTCTGTATACATATTTTTAAAAAAAAACCCAAAAACCTGCCTTGAAGTTAGTGCTGCCAATGATGCCTGTGCTGGGTGGGACTGCGGTCCACCTGGGCCTTGCTTTAGGCAGCTGAGACCAGCAAAGCTTTCTGCGGTTAAAGGGAATGGGCACGGAGATCTGATGTGACTCTCCTGTGGCCAGCATCCCCAGCAGTGGCAGGGTCAGGAGCTGGCTCCCAATTTTGTGGAAGTCCCCCCAGGCAAGCTGGGCTGAGCCTGCTGGCTTCAGGCTCTTCAAGTTCCCAAAGGCTTGCTTTCCAGCTCACTGTTTTTTCCTGCTGGCTGTACGTACAATTGATTTTTCTTTTGTTTCAAAGAATCAGATGAGTCAGTCACCCTTGCTGATAACGAAGTTGCTGTCAGCAAGCATTGCCAGTTGGGTTTACTCCAGCTGTGGCAAGGCTGATGGTGCTGCAGGCACAGCAAGGGCCCAGGCTGCCTGCCCTGCCCTCACACGCCCTGCCCTGTGTCTGCCTGCAGCCACAGCATGCCCACAGCTGGCTGTCCCCCAAAGGGGACAGGTCGATCACTCCCACCTGCACATTATGTTCGCCTTAAACTCCCCTGTGCCTTCTCCTGCCAGGAGGGGATTGAAGTGATGGAAGCGTGGAGACTGCAGTGCACGGCCAGTGGGGTCTGGATGGGGCCCCATCCCGCACTGTGAATGTAGAGCCTGGGCTGCCTGCTGGGGGTGACTCAGCGCTGGGTTTTGGGGACAAAACGGACACCTCCAGGGATTCTGTGGAAAACTAGGCTTGCCTGTAAAATAGCTGTGAAAGGAAATGTCTGTCAAGGAAAGTGTTTGGTGTCAGTCTGAACATAGAAGGTGCAGGGAAAGGGGTCTGTCTTGGGTGCTGGTATTGTTAGGTGTCCTCCTGGCACCAACCTATGGTAGTCCCACAGGCAGCAGAGCCACTTGCCCCAGCAAACACTGGGTGCTGCCTTGGCATGCAGCGAAGCATGCCCCAGGCACAGCCTGGGGGGGCTGGCACAGAACCCCATAACCAATGCAGTCTTCCCATTCCAGTCCCCTACAGCTCCAAAGCCATCTGGGTGCCCTTCCCTTTGCTGCCTTGACAAGGATGGAGGCAGGTCTCTGCTCCAATCCAGGGAGGGGGGTGAGCAGGACTGCAGCAGCCACGGTTCTTGTCCCAGGGGCTGTGCCCCAGGGTAGTGCAGGGGATAAACAGGGCACTGGCAGAGCAGCAACTGCCCGCCCCCCCCCCGCCCCGTAAATAACTTGTATGGCAGAAAAATGATTGTGCCAACTACATTACTACTGTTTTTGCAGAGGTGAGACTTGTCTGGGTGAGAAAGCTAAACCAAAGACATATCATCATGGATTTGGTTCTGTTTGAGCGGGATGCAGCCCTAATCCCTAGATTTAACCTCATCTGTCCTGCCTCTGAGACCTGCTCTCCCCTTGCAGCCATCACCTGCCCAGCGCTCAGCGCTCCAGACCGGGGAAAGCTGAACTGCTCCCACCTCCACAGAGACTTCGCTTTTGGCTCCACGTGTGCCTTCTCCTGCCAGACGGGGTTTGCACTGACGGGGCCAGAAAGCCGCGAGTGCACGGACCTGGACAGGGGATGCCCCACGCTGCGAAGGTAGAGCTGCTGCTAGGGCTCAGGCTGTCATTGGCCTTGGGGTGACACTAGGATGTTCCCCAGCCTCTCGGTCCCAGCAGTTTAGCCTCGCAGTCCCCAAGCTCCTGCCTGAAATGCGCCTCTTTGCTTTGCAGCTGTTGCCTGCCCAGTGCTCAGCGTGCCAGACCAAGGAGAGCTGAACTGCTCCCACCTCCATGGGGACTTCGCCTTTGGCTCCATATGTGCCTTCTCCTGCCAGACAGGGTTTATGCTGATGGGGCCAGAGAGCCGTGAGTGCACGGCCATGGGGACCTGGACGGGGGACACTGCACGATGTGAAGGTAGAGTTGCTGCTCAAGGTGTCACAGGCCTTCGGTTGACCCTGGCATGTTCTCTGGTGTCTTGGTCCTCTTGTCCTAACAGTTTAGCTTTGCAGTCCCCAGGCTCGTGCTTGAAGTATATCTCTGTCCCTGCAGCCATCACCTGCCCGGTGCTCAGTGCTCCAGACCAAGGAGAGCTGAACTGCTCCCACCTGCACGGGGACTTTGCCTTTGGCTCCACGTGTGCCTTCTCCTGCCAGACGGGGTTTGCACTGACGGGGCCAGAAAGCCGCGAGTGCACGGCCATGGGGACCTGGACAGGGGACTCCCCACGATGTGAAGGTAAAGCTGCTGCTAGAGCTCAGGCTGTCACTGGACTTGGGGTGACACTAGGATTTTTCCCAGGCTCTTGGACCCAAAAGTTTAGCCTTGCAGTCCCCAGGCTCCTGCTTGAAGCGTATCTCTATCCCTGCAGCCACCACATGCCCGGTGCTCAGTGCTCCAGACCGGGGAAAGCTGAACTGCTCCCACCTCCATGGGGACTTTGCCTTTGGCTCCACGTGTGCCTTCTCCTGCCAGATGGGGTTTGCACTGACAGGGCCAGAGAGCCGCGAGTGAACAGCCATGGGGACTGGACTGGAGATGCCCCACGCTGTGAAGGTAGAGCTGCTGCTTGAGCTCAGGGTGTCACTGATCTTGGAACATCCTAGTGTCACCCCAGCCTCTTGGTCCCAGCAGTTTAGCCTTGCAGTCCCCAGGCTCCTGCTTGGAGTGTGTCTCTACCTCTGCAGCCATCACCTGCCCAGTGCTCAGTGCTCCAGTCCGAGGACAGCTGAACTGCTCCCACCTCCACGGGGACTTCACATTCAGCTCCACGTGTGCTTTCTCCTGCCAGACGGGGTTTGCACTGACAGGGACAGAGAGCCGCGAGTGCACAGCTATGGGGACCTGGACAGGGGACTCACCACAATGCAAAGGTAGAGTTGCTGCTCAATGTGTCACAGGCTTTGAGGTAACGATGGGATGTTCTCTGGTGTCTTGGTCCTCTCATTCCAACAACTTAGCCTCGTAGTCCACAGGCTCCTACTTGAAGTGTGTCTGTTTACCCTGCAGCCATTGCCTGCCCAGTGCTCAGTGCTCCAGATCGAGGAGAGCTGAACTGCTCCCACCTCCACGGGGACTTCGCCTTTGGCTCTACATGTACCTTCTCCTGCCAGACAGGGTTTGAATTGATGGGGCCAGAGAGCCGTGAGTGCACGGCCATGGGGACCTGGACAGGGGATGCCCCACGCTGTGAAGGTAGAGTCGCTGCTCAAGGTGTCACAGGCCTTGGGTTGACCCTAGGATCTTCTCGGATGTCTTGGTCCTTTCATTCCAACAGTTCAGCCTTATAGTCCCCAGGCTCCTGCTTGAAGTATATCTCTGTCCCTGCAGCCATCACCTGTCCGGTACTCAGTCCTCCAGACCAAGGAGAGCTGAACTGCTCCCACCTCCACGGGGACTTCGCCTTTGGCTCCACATGTGCCTTCTCCTGCCAGACAGGGTTTATGCTGATGGGGCCAGAGAGCCGCAAGTGCACAGCCATGGGGACCTGGATGGGGGACTCCCCACGCTGTGAAGGTAGAGTTGCTGCTCAAGGTGTCACAGGCCTTGGGTTGACCCTAGGATCTTCTCGGATGTCTTGGTCCTTTCATTCCAACAGTTTAGCCTTATAGTCCCCAGGCTCCTGTTTGAAGTATATCTCTGTCCCTGCAGCCATCACCTGTCCGGTACTCAGTCCTCCAGACCAAGGAGAGCTGAACTGCTCCCACCTCCACGGGGACTTCGCCTTTGGCTCCACATGTGCCTTCTCCTGCCAGACAGGGTTTATGCTGATGGGGCCAGAGAGCCGCAAGTGCACAGCCATGGGGACCTGGATGGGGGACTCCCCACGCTGTGAAGGTAGAGTTGCTGCTCAAGGTGTCACAGGCCTTGGGTTGACCCTGGCATGTTCTCCAGTGTCTTGGTCCTCTTGTCCTAACAGTTTAGCTTCACAGTCCCCAGGCTCCTGCTTGAAGTATATCTCTGTCCCTGTAGCCATCACCTGCCCAGTACTCAGTGCTCCAGACTGGGGGGAGCTAAACTGCTCCCACCTGCACGGGGACTTTGCCTTTGGCTCCACGTGTGCCTTCTCCTGCCAGACGGGGTTTGCACTGACAGGGCCAGAGAGCCGCGAGTGCACAGCCATGGGGACCTGGACTGGGGACATCCCGCAATGCGAAGGTAGATGTCATGATCACATGCATGTCTGGAAGCGATCTGTTGCAGAGACTGCTTTCACCACCATCCCCTTCCCATTGGCACCCCTGGCCCATGGCAGCTCATCCCCTGGCTCCCCAGATCACATGTCCCTATCCCACCACCAATCAGTCCTGTCCTACTGATGCTACCTGTGCTTTATCTCCAGCCATCAGCTGCCCGGTGCTGGACCCCCCAAGCAGAGGCCAGCTGAGCTGCTCCCACATGCACGGGAACTTCACATACAACTCCACATGCACCTTTTCCTGCGAGGAGGGGTTTGTTCGGATGGGAGCAGAGGTGCTCCAGTGTGTGGCCACAGGGAACTGGACCAGACTTCCCCCTGTCTGTGCAGGTACGGTGAGACCCCCCACTCCTCTAGCACTGGGGTGTCCAGCTTCCTGCAGCACATCTTGAATGTGACGGGAGGCACCCCAGCAGCTTGGGTGCTGTGAAGTCCTTCTCACAATTTTCTGACCTGTGGGTTTGTGGATCCGTTTCAGAGGACAGTGCCCCCTTCTTAAAGCAAGTCCTGGCTTACAGCAGCGGTACGGCTCTGGCGGTAGCTGGCATCATGCTCTCGGGGATGCTCATTGCCCTCCTTGCCAAGCGGCTTAGCAACAGAGGTACACAAATGCCTCCCACGGTCCACCATCGCTTGGGCTGGGGGCTCTCAGACCAGAGGGTTACAGAGTTCCAGGGGAGGGTGGGATGCTGGGAAGAGTTTAACAGCGTGACTGCCTCAATCCGTGTGTTTTATTTGCTCCGAGGCACTTTGGTCTGGCAGCAACTCCTTGGCAGTTTGTCCACCTGGAAGTGTCAGCAGCCAGATTTGGAGGGCACAGCCATAAAAACACCTTAATTGCAAAGGGGAAGAAGGCAATTGTCTCAGGTCCCCCTGCCCGCTCCACCCCCTGCTTGTCAAACTTGGTTCAATTTCATCTGCTGCTGCTGCAGCTTCTCAAGTACTTCACTAAACAGATCTGGTTTTCTTTTCCATCTGCGCTATCTACGTGGACGTTTTGACACTGTTATCAGAGGAGAAGAAGAAGCTCCTAAACCCCACCAGGTGAGAGCCATGCTCTGCAGGAGGGTGGCTCTACCCTGTGCCCATCACAGCCCTGTGGTCATCCCGCCATCACCCAGATCTGCCTGTGTCAGGCTGATTTATACGCAGTGGGACCATCTTCGGGGCAGACGGGGCTGTGCTAACCCCTGCCCTTCACACTCCTGCCCTCTCCCCCAAGGTGACACCCTTGTGTTTGTCTTCCAGTGACTTAGGATCGCCGGGCATCTTCACCAACGCAGCGTATGATGCCAACCTGTAAGGTGGGCGCCGGCAAGACGCCCGCAGCACCCTGCACTCTCGCAGCGTGCTGGAAACGTGTTCCCCTGCCTCTGCTGGGAATCACGTGTGGAAAATTCACCTGGGCAGCTACCCTCCTGGCTGGGGTGCTCCCAGGTGGGGACACCCCTTGGGAGGCGAAGTGGGGGGACCTGCGGCTTTCCGTGCACTGATGGGGGCACCACCAGCTCCTGCTTTCCTGTGCTTCCAGCCTGACCGTGACCAAAACCCACC